ACAGGGGAGACGACAAAGGGGCCAGGGACCCAACCTGGGGTATCTGAGCATCAAAACAGACAGTGAGGGACCAGCAGATGGCGTAAGGGCTATGTTGCTGGACTCCCATGTAGTCAACCACGGTTTGAGTCCCGGACCTGGTGGCTTAAACTCACACAGGGCGTGTGTGCGTGCGTGCCCAAGATCCCGAGAGGAGAATGGAGAAGGGATTGTGGCGTGGTCATCCTCCTGGGGGGTGATTTCTCGCTTTCTGTCTCTGTCTGTCTGGCGAGCATATGCACCCTATAGCAAAATTCTCTCTCTAAAATTAAAAGAAAAGAAAATCGCCATTTCACAACCCTCGTAATAATTGATTCAGATGAGAATCAGAAAACACTGATTTTACCTCCTGGTAAAATTTCAGTAAGAAACAAGGGTGTCTACACAGGAGTGTCTAAGTAAATCTGTACGGAACACTTAGTTTATTTTTGCTATAGGGTGCATGTGCTCACCAGAAAGACAGAGGACAGAGAGAGGGAAACTGAGAAATTCCCCTAGGCGGGATGGCCATGCCACAATCCCATCTTCTCCATTCTCCTCTCAGGATTATGGGCATGCATATGTATGCAGCATGATTTTCAACTGCTAGGTCTGGGAGTTGAACTGTGGCTGGCTAGGTGGGAGTCCAGCCCCTTAACCACCATGCCAACAAATCCATCCCTCTACCTGCCCAAAGATAGGAGTTCTTAAGCTGAAACAAGGGAGGGAGGGGACGTGGGAGTTCTGCAGACCTCATTCCTGGGGAGACGGCCAGCTGGAGACCTTTTTGTCTCGTTCCTGCCCTCTGCATCTGCCGGTCTCCGTAAGGCAGACTCACAGAACACACTCATCCCCTACGACACAACATGGCTGCTGACCCAGAGGGGCCTCCTGAGCTGAGCTGCAGTGTGGACAGGCCCAAAGGGGCAGGACAGGAAGCGGAGAAGGAAACACTGCTGTTCAGCCCTCGAGGGCAGAGAGAACAATCGCATATGGCACTGAGTTTAATTCCAACTTTCAGTGATGACGCGGTGGGTTACCGCAGTGAGCAAAGCCCCACCCTCCAAAGTGGTCGTCAGGGTAACAGACTTTGCTGTCCCAGGAAGCAGCTGCTGCAGACCCCAGGGCTCGGAGTTGGGTGCAGTAGTCAGGGTATGCTCACGAACAAGGTCGGGGCTGGCCCCCTGGCCTCCTGGGGGAGAGCCGCATCCCACATGGCTGTCCGTGGTTCAACGCCTAGCCCCAGCAGCTTGAAAAATACACCAGGCCTGTGGGGCACGGACCCAGCCCGTCAGCCGGATGGAGATGGGGGGCTTTCTCCCCTTCTCTCCCGCTGTCCCTCTGTCTCTCACTGTGAACACGTGTCCCCTCTGGCAAAGAACACACGGACACGGTTGGGCCGAGCCTTGGCAGTGTGAGTGGAAGGCACTGCCGTCAAGCCCAGGCGGTGTGGGAGGTCGGGGTCCTACCTGGGGCCCCCTGGACAGGCCTGGCACTCGTCTGGCGGACGCTCACCACAGTGGGCCTGTCAGAACCCCTCTGTCAGATGGCAGGGGATTGCACACAGTCGGTTGTCCTGGGTTCCTTGCAGGAGAGTGCTGCGCCCACGAGTAGGCTTCTGGAATGGTCCTTGTCCTTGGGGCTGGAAGGGAGCCCACGGCCTTTTGGGTAACAGCGTGAGAAGACGAATGTGACGACAAAAACGCACAGCTATGGGGGAGCTTCCCATCATGCCTCAGGGTCTTGGTCTGAGGGACAGGGACAGGCGACACTGCCTCCCAGGGCTGGGAGGCTGGCAGATGCTCCCTCCCCAGGTGCGCACAGGGTCCTGCATCCTGCGGGACAGTAATGAGCCCTGGCCCTCCCTGTCTCCAGCCTGGGATGTGGGCCTGGCTTGCTGCTTTGGACGGGAGGACATTGGAAACAATTTCCAGCCTCACGCCCTGGGCCGTGCTGCAGAGCTGTCTTCGCCCACATGTCTCACCAGAAAGCTGCAGCGGAGAGCCCCAGGACTCCACAGTACCCTTCCCCTACTCGTTGACAGGAGCCCTGGCTTCTTTTTTTTTTGGAGAGGTTTTTTGGTATAGGGTACGTGCATTCGTCAGAAAGACAGAGAGAGACAGAGAGACAGAGAGTGAGAAATCACTTCCCGGGGTGGGGGGATGCCCACACCACAGTCCCTTCTCCATTCTCCTGTCGGGATCTTGGGCATGCACACACGTGCCTGATGTGAGTTTCAAGCCTCCAGGTCTGGGACTGGAACTGAAGCCACCTACATGGGAGTCCAGTGACATAACCATTATGCCGCCTGCTTGTCTCCTAATCTCATTTGAGTATCACCTTTATCCGACCATTGGACCCTGTTTTCTTACAGCCTTTGAAGACAGTGAATATGGTAATACCCTTGCTTTGGTTTTCACATTCTGCATCTGTGCTTTGGATCTGCACGCATAAGAAATTCTTCCTTAGGACCAGGAAGAATGTCTGTGTTGCTGGACTCCCATGTAGTTGACCGGGGTTTGAGTCTTGGACCTGGTGGCTTAAACTCACACAGGGTGCATGTGCGTACATGCCCAAGATTCCGAGAGGAGAACGGAGGAGAAGGGATTGTGGCGTGGCCTTCCCTCTGGGGGGGGATTTCTCACTTTCGGACTCTCTCTCTTGGTCTTTCTGGTGAGTGCATGCACCCTATAGCAAAAACCTCTCCACAAAAAAAAAAAAGACATTCTTCCTGATCGAATCCATGAAGTAGCTTTAGAGAACTCACTGAACAGTGCAGAAAAGAAAATAAATCCCAACGCAGCAACACAGAATTCGATTTCTCTGTTGAGATCTTTTAGTCTCCATGGCCATTCCTCTTGCATTAGAAAAGTGGAGGACTGGCTCCCTCGGGAAGGAGCCTCTGCAGAAGCCTCCTCCGTCCCCACCAGGGTCCTGCTCAGCGGGGCAGCTCTCTCACTCCAGGGTCCTGCTCAGCTGCTGTGACTGTGGGCAGGTCCCTGCTCCAGGGAGTCTCCACCAGAGGCTGAGGTGAGCAGCTCTGCGGGGAAAGCACTTCCATCTCATTTACAAAACCGACTGGAAGAGCCGTCTCTGGGAGCAGCAGCTGAGGTGCCTGTGTCCAGGCGGGTGACCCGCGCCACCTGGGCTCCACCCTCACCCTGCAGGCGCCTCGCGTGGAGGCCCAGGACTGCTCCCTGTGACTGGGTCGGAGGGGCCAAGTCGGTCCTGCCTCAGCAGCATGTGAGCTGTCTGGGTTCAAGGACTCTCAGAGAGGAAAACCTTCTGGTCTCTAATGCTTGAAAAAGAGGTAAGGAGAATATCTTTCTAAAAATTACTAAATGAAGTGACACTAAAATTGGACTGATCTGAGCACTGTGTACCTTAAATCCAAGCACAGACCAAGTTTTCTACTGCAAGAGACCTGACGCTCGCAGCGCCAGCTTCCCGGACCTCGTGCGTAAGAGCTGCTTCTGCCATGTCGGCCATCTGTGGGGACGGGGCCTGTGCTTGTATGTTTCTGTCTGCTACGGGCAGCCCCAGGGCATGGGGACAGTACTGCAGTTTCTCTGAGCATACATGCTCAGAGTTCCACCCAGAAAATTAGTCTTACTAACGGGGGCATTTTTTTGGGGGGACAAACTTCCCTGTCTTTGTAGCCAATTGACAAGGCATTAGCTGTGGGGGGAGACTCTTCCTGTGTCCCCTGGCAAAAGGACAGGATTTGAAAGTCCAGCCCACAGGGACTCGAGGCCACCTGAGAACACGCGAATGTGCAAGCGTGAACCCATCATGTGACAGAGGTATGCTGACGCCAAGCTGCTCCCCGACCTGCCAGTGACACAGTGACCACAGCCTGCCGGTGACACAGTGAATGACCTGCCTGCG